GGCGATGTCCCTATTTATACTAAAATGATAGGGGCATACGTGTAATTTTGGTAGTCCATGCAGTCAGCTTAGTCAGCTGGTACTGTACATGTGTCAGCATTAGGTGATTTGATTAATCCCCATATTTGTTGCGGCATCGACAAAGGAAGTAAGGTGGTGACAAGGTCTGATGAGTCATTAAGACTTTTGGCAAGGATGTAATGATGACTCCGACTGTATATTTAATATGATGGTGATTGACTATAGGCGAGGGGTTCGAGAATGATTGCATTCCATCTTGGCTTCAAGAGAGGCCGAGAAAAGACTCCTTTCATCTCGACCCTCGAGAGAGACGAGAAGGGACACCTCTCATCTTGTCCTTCGAAGGAGACAAGAAGTTGGTGTGTCTGGGTCGAGTCCGTGTGTAGTCTGCTTGAAACATATGTCAGCTAGTTGAAGCGATTAACACTTCCTTATTTCAGTGGCACAATAGCCACAACTAGTCCCAATGAATAAACAACCCCCCAACCCCTTCTCTCCCAATGGCCCAAAGTTTATAAAAGAATTTCGCCCCCAAAATTTAGCATTCGTATCTTAGAGATTAATAATGCCAGAAAAGCACGTTGAGGGAATAATCCAGATAAGGAAACCCTCACATACACATCTCGCATCCTTAATCTCCAAATATGAACATAGCAATTCTACATTTAACAATCTAAGATGCTAATATTTCTACTTAACCCCTAACTAAACGGAACTAGTACGTCGGGCGAAAAATCCAAACAAGGAACCCCCCATATATATACCATGTGTTCCGAATGATTAGAAGTTAAGTGTCAATACCTCCATTCTAGCGTTAAATGTAAATAGAACCATACAAATAATCACATACATAAATCAATCCACCTTCTCAATAGGTGCAGGTAGTCGCGATGCATAACATCTTCGCGCTCCCGAGAATCATCCTTAATGTCTATACTTAACAGTCTAAAATGCAAATACCCCCACTTAACCCCTAACTAAATGGAACAAGTACATCGAGCGAAAAATCCAAACAAGGAACCCCTCATATATATACCATATGTTTCGAGTACTTAGGAGTTAAGTGTTAATACTATCATTTTAGCGTTAAGTATAAACATTACCATACAGGTAACCACAAATCATAAACAAGTCATACTAAATTTAATTTACCTGCTCAAATAGGTGTGGGTAGTCGCGACGTATATCCTCTTCGCGTTCCCAAGAAGCCTCCTCAGCTCCTCTCCGATTCCACTGAACTTTAACTAAAGGTATCACATTGTTTCTCAACTTCTTGTCCTCCTTGGCAAGAATACATACAGGAATCTCAATAGTAGCCAGATCCTCCTGAATCTCGATCTCTGGTGCGTCTAATACTCGCTGCTCCTCCTCGTCACGTAGGTGCTTCTTAAGCATCGAAACATGAAAAACATCGTGTATGCTCGACATGGATGCTGGTAGGTCTAGCCGATATGAAACAGCTCCAATGCCCTCAATAATCAGGAATGGTCCAATATACCTCGGAGCAAGTTTTCCTTATCTGGCGTCTAATACTCGCTGCTCCTCCTCGTCACGTAGGTGCTTCTAAAGCATCGAAACATGAAAAACATCGTGTATGCTCGACATGGATGCTGGTAGGTCTAGCCGATATGAAACAGCTCCAATGCCCTCAATAATCAGGAATGGTCCAATATACCTCGGAGCAAGTTTTCCTTATCTGCCAAAACGCTGAACTCCCTTCATTGGTGATATTTTCAATAACACATAGTCCCTAACTTGGAACTCTAACGGTCGTCGTCTATGATCTGCATAACTCTTCTGACGACTCTGCGCTATAAGAATACGCTCTCGAATGACTACTACCTTCTCCGTAGTTTGTCTCACAAGCTCCGGTCCAAGCAATAGGCTGTCCTCTGGTTCTGCCCAACAAATAGGTGATCTATAAGGCCTCCCGTACAATGCTTCATACGGTGCCATCCCAATAGTCACTTGGTAGCTATTATTATAAGTGAATTCGATTAATGGAATGTGGTCCTCCCAGCTACCCTGGAAATCAATGACACATGCCCGTAACATATCCTCTAATATTTGGTTCACTCTCTCCATCTGCCCATCTGTCTGCGGGTGAAACACACTAGAATAAGATAATCTGCTGCCGAAAGAGTTCTGGAAGCTTCTCCAAAAATATAAAGTGAAAACCGAGCCTCGATCTGACACAATCATCTCTGGAACTCCATGTAATCTCACGATCTCCTGAAAAGTGAAAACCGAGCCTCGATCTGACACAATCATCTCTGGAACTCCATGTAATCTCACGATCTCCTGAATAAATATCCGTGCATACGTCTCTTGACACAATCATCTCTGGAACTCCATGTAATCTCACGATCTCCTGAATAAATATCCGTGCATACGTCTCTTCCGTGTATGTCGTCTTTACTGGTATGAAATGTGCTAACTTTATCAACCGATCTACTACCACCCAAACTGAATCATTCCCCTTCTTCGATCTCGGCAATCCTACAATAAAGTCCATAGAAATATCTGTCCACTTCCACTCCAGAATGGGTAAAGGCTGTAGGTTCTTGCCGGTCTCTGATGTTCTGCCTTCACTTGCTGGCAGGTAAAGCACTTAGCTACATATTCTGTAATCTCTCTACGCATGCCGCTCCACCAAAAATGTCTCTTCAGATCCTTGTACATCTTCATTGTGCCTAGATGCACTGTATACCTGGTATGATGCGCTTCATCGAATAAATCCTTCTTCAGCTGAGCATTAGCTGGCATTACTAATCGGCCCTTCATCCAAAGTCCTCCATCTGCTCCAACGGTCCAATCAGTCTTTGGCTCTTTGGAAATCTCCCTCTTTTGGGCTTGAATCCAAGAGTCGTCCAACTGAGCTCTGATCACTCTGTAACTCCAAGATGGCTGTACGGATAAAGCTCCCAAAAATGCACTGCTCCCGCCAATCTCCGGTCTAAAGTTGAACTGGCTAAGTGTGTGGAGATCTCGATATAACGAGCATCTCAAAGATGCAATCCTATGATGACGCTTCCTACTCAATGCGTCTACTACGACATTCGTCTTCCTTGGATAATACTGAATCGTGAACTCATAATCCTTAATAAACTCAACCCATCGTCGCTGTCTCTGATTTAGTTCCTTTTGAGAGAAGAGGTACTTCAAGCTCTGATGATCTGTGAATAGCTTGAACTGTACTCCGTACAGGTAGTGTCTCCATGTCTTTAATGCGAAGACCACTACTGCTAGCTCTAAGTCATGTGTGTGATAGTTCTGTTCATGCGTTCTCAACTGACGTGAAATGTATACTACTACCCTCTAAGTCTGCATCAAAACACCTCCTAGACCCACTAACGACGCATCTGTGTAGACTATGAATGTCTTATCACTCTAGAAATGGTCAAAACTGGCACTGTAGTCAACTTAGCCTTCAAAGTCTCAAAGGCCTCCTGGCACTCTGTGCTCTAAACAAAAGGTACACCCTTTTTCATAAGGTGTGTAAGTGGTGTGGCTATTTTTTGCGAAGTCCTGAATGAACTTCCTGTAATAGCCAGCCAAACCTAAAAAGCTACGGATCTCGGTAACTGTCGTCGGCGGCTCCCAATCAAGTACTGCTATAACCTTAGCTGGATCCACTACAATGCCCTTCTACTGATGACGTGGCCCAAAAATCTGATCTCGGATAGCCAAAACTCACACTTGCTGAATTTGGCATATAGCTGGTGCTCCCGCAAGCAAAGCTAATTGAAGGTGCTGCTCGTGCTCTGCCTCCGACCTCGAATAGATTAGAATGTCGTCGATGAATACTATTACGAACTGGTCCAAGTATGGACGGAAAACCCGATTCATCAAATCCATGAATACCGCAGATGCATTGGTTAGCCCAAATGGCATGGCAAGAAACTCGAAGGACCCATAACGAGTCAGAAAGGCGGTCTTGGGAATATCCATCTCCTGAACCCACAACTGATGATAGCCAGAACGAAGATCAATCTTCGAGAAGTGTTGCGCTCCCTGCAGCTGGTCGAACAAGTCATCAATCATCGGTAATGGATACCTGTTCCAGATAGTGACATTGTTCAACTCCCGATAATCTATACAAGATGCATACTGCCGTCCTTCTTCACGAAAAGGACCGGCGCCCCAATGGAGAATGACTCTGGCGAATAAAACCCTGAGACAACAACTCGTCCAGATGAGTCTGTAGCTCCCTCATCTTAGCAGGTGCCATACGATAGGGAGCTCGAGATATCGGTGCTGTGCCTGGCTACAACTCGATACAGAACTCAACCTCTCTCACAGGAGGTAGCCCCGGTATGTCCTGAAAGACATCCTAAAAATCTGAGACACCGGTATGTCCTGAAAGACATCCTAAAAATCTGAGACAACCCTAGTCTCGCACAAATCAGCACTCCGATCTCTCAGCATCACCTCCTCGATATAGGCCAGAAATGACTCCGCAAACTGGTTGCCCTGTGAGGTCGCTACGATCAACTCAGACCCATCAAACGCTCGTAAACTAACTGTTTTCGCAAAACCGTCAATGCTAACATGGTAGGATGATAACCAATCCATATCGAGAATGACGTCAAAATCCGACATCCGCAAGATGATCAAATCTATGATAAACTCGGACTCATCTAAGCTGATGATACATCTCCTACAGTCGTTCTCTAATAGGGATACCTCTCCTAAGGGAGTAGAGACGGACAACGAAACATCTAAAGGATGTGCGACTAACTAGAGCCTATCCATAAAGGTATGAGATATAAAAGAATGGGAAGCTCCGGAATCGAACAGGATCCGAGCTAGAAAAGAATTTACTAAGAAAGTACCTTCTACTATAGCTTCGCTCGCACCGTGATCACGCGGTACGACTGCATAGACTCTGCCAGTGGCTGGCGACTGCTGAACTGTCGATGGTGGAATATACGGGACTATCTGTCCCTCGGGAATCTCCTAAATCGCGTGAATCTGGCCTACTGGCCCCTCAATCCTAGGAACAGAATCCTCTGCTGTGGCTGCTGGCCGTAACCGCGGCCCTGCTGATGCTGACCCTGACCATGGTTCTGCTGCTGACCGTGTCCTCGATTCTGCTGCTGGCCCTGGCCTCTACCCTGCTGGCCTCCTGCTGGCGCACTACGACAGTCCTTGGCCTTATGCCCGATCTTATTGCAGTTATAGCATGCACCCTGAATCTTGCGCTGCGGTGGTGCTCTCGAGTCATGTTGTGCTCCCTTCTTGAACTTGCCCTGCTGGTGGTGATGAAAGTCCTTACCCCACTGCTGGGGTCCTCCTAATCCGGCAAAAGATCTCTTGCCCTTGTCCTTGTCATTCTGCTGTCCAGACTTGTTATTGCCCTCCTTATTCTTCTGAAACATCGCAGTCTCTATCTCCTATGATATAGCTGCATCTGCTACCTCTCGGACTGAACAGAAACTTCTAGAAACTAGGTAACGGCGAAGACTTGGGCGAAGTCCCATAAGAAACATCTGCGCCTTGCGCTCTCCTGACTACCACATGCCCGTGAAATATAGAAGACTCATAAATTGGCTCTCATAGTCAGCCACAGACATATCTCCCTGCTCTAGCTTAGACAACTCTAGCTCTTTCCCGGCCCGTGCCGCGGAAGAGATGTACTGCTCGTCGAAGAAATACACAAAATCCTCCAAAGTGAACTGCCACCCTTTGCTTCTGCACTGAGTCGACGTTAAGTAAATCCAGAATGTTACTCACGTCCTCCTTCCACTTGTGGGCCACAAGCAAATCTGATGATCCCTGAAACTCTGGCGCCCTCATCTTCTGGTAGCGTTCCACTAAACGGAGCCAAGCCTCCTACTCTGCGGCTGCAACTGATGGTGGGGTGAGTCCTGGTGTGGTCTCGGGGGACTCCTCTGTGATGGGGATGGCTGGAATAACTGGCAGTGGGACCACAGGTGGTGGTGTAGCTGGCGGCATGTGATTTGCCACTTGATCCTCAAGCGCTGCTAGCCTCGCTGCAATGGGTGCCATGAGGTCTATCAAATACTGGGGAGCCTGCTGCGGCTTGGGTGGAGCCTGCTGCGGCTCGGGTGGGACTATCAAATACTAGGGAGCCTGCTGCGGCTCGGGTGGAACCTGCTACTGCTCGGGTTCTGGTTCAGTCTGTCCCTCTCCCTGAGTACGGGATCCTCTCCGTCCACGTCCTTGTCCGGCCATTTATACATTCAGAATAAAGTTTATAAGATACAGTATTGAGACCTCAGGCAAAAGATATAACACATAACAATAAGAAAATCGTATCACTTATCATTCATGCAAATACTTTTCAATCAGAGTATGATAATCATAAAAAAATGTGTAATTTTCGAGATATACGTATATATCGTCCTCACTTATTCTAGAAATTCCTAGCGGACTCTATACATGAACCCTAAGAAACTCTATACTAGCTCCACGACTCGACATAGGATGATCCTAAGGATACTGGAACTAGAGCTTGATACCAACTATGACGCCCCTGTTTTCACACATGGCTGCAGTCCAAGGTGAACCCAGAGATGTCAAACCTACCATGCACCTACACTGTGCAACAATAAGTTTCACCAATCACAGTAATATCCTCTAGTGGGATCAAATAAAAGCGTAGGTACAAAACAGGTAAAGAAGTAGAACGACAATAATAAACATGATAAAGAAGATGATATCTCATAAATAAAGGTCATGTCTTAACTGAAAATAAACTAAAATACATCTGGAGTCTGAAATAACATACGATGTCTCAACATGAATCAAAACAGAAAGTCGAACTAAGGCACATTGCCTTTACAAAATGGAAATAAACTCTTAAGTCTGAATAAAATTTAAAACTACAGTGGAGCCTCTAATAAATCTCTCGGGACGGTGACTATGCAAGAACTCCGTTATCCTGCGGCTATCCGGAACTCCGTGCTACCCGAAAGGGTATTTTTAAAAGAAAAAGAAACAACAACAAGAGCGTCAGAGTGCTACAGCAAGATTACCTCCATCCGTCCCAGGGGAAGGGCTGATAAATGGAGTGGAGGCTCTATCTATTAAGCATAGTCCACCTATATCATTTTCCCCGTATCTAGCGGAATTAATATTCAGACACCTACAAAACGAGACGTAGTACGTCGAGCGAAATAATCCAAATAAGGAAACCCTCATGTATATACCATATGTCCCGAATTGTAAACATCTAAACATTAATACCAAATTAAGGATAAACAATCTAAATGAAATCAACAATTTGAAATCCACAACACGAGACTGATACATCGAGCGAAATAATCCAAACAATGAAACCCTCATGTATATACCATATGTCTCAAATTGTGAACCGCTAATCGTTGATCCCAACCTAAGAAATAAAGAAAAGCAGAAAAAGAAAATAAAGATGTCAACATATCATATTCATAATATCTGTCACTGCCACTGGGGAGATAGAATGAATACCGGCATAAATCTCATGTACTTTCATATGCAAAGTACTCTGGGTCATATATTTTAGCAGCGAGTCAAAAACATAACTGGCATCTGCCAATGACTCAGGCTATTGCTTGGCTATCTCAATGCAACTCCGTGCAAGATTTTGATACTTAGCATTATCATATGTAACGGACTACCCTGTAGGTATCCTAATCAGTGTACACGGCTCATTAGTCTCATCGCGATCTCAGTGCGTAACATGAGTGCGAAACGACCTACCATATAGGTATCCTAGAAGTACGGCTCACAAGCCTCATCGCACCCTCATGCAGACGGACTGCTAAATAAAGCATCCAAACCCGACTCAATGACCTGCACAAATGGAATATCGACGCACTACCCCCGTAGTACTGAACTGAGCTCATCAACGATATCCACAAGGTGTGTGTATAGTATGTTCTAAACTCTTTCTCAAAGTAATTGGGTCTTAACCCTTCATAATCCCTCTCAGAAAGCCCAAGTGTGTACTACTGTACTATTCGTGAGAATATGTGTAAAGAAGTATGGCTCGAAGTCTGCGATCACATCTTAAGTAGACATAAAACAAAACTCAGGAAAAACAGCCTTTGTAGTCGACTACTCTGAGTCAATCCAGACTCTGTAAAAACAAATTTACTGTTAGTAGTCGACTATTAGGGTTAATAGTCGACTACTCTGCTATAACTTAGTTTTCTGTGTTTCGAAGGTTTGACAGAGTAGTCGACTACTATGCTTAGTAGTCGACTACACTGTGAAAACATGTATACTGACGTGCACAAACAGGAAATTAACTTAACATACACTTATCACTCATATTTACATGATTTAAACTTGTTAAACATACAATAATAACTATTCTGAGCATGACAACAATGTATAAATTTGTCTAGTTAGGGTTTTACATCAAAATTAATCATTTTCTTCAATTGATCAATATGTAAACAATATGATAATAATAACATGATTTAAAATCTACATATGAACAGAGATCAATCTTGTTTCAAATTCTGATTTTACAAAACCTAGATGTCACAAGTCTAGGGTTAAACTTCTTTAAACATCATGTGTATTCAATTAATTGCATATCTAAGGTTTAGGCATGATCTAAACATGATTAATGGATTAAAAGTGAAACTAAAAGCATCACAATGATTATGATCACAAACTATATACAACAACAAGAAAAACAAGTATAGATCTAGCATGAGTTTATGAAATAACATAAAAATCCAATCTTTTTATATCTCATATTAAGATCACGCACATAAACATTAATATTTAACTTCTAATCTAGTTATTTAACTATGGGGATGAGTTTGGACGAAAATAATCTTGCCTCAAGGTGCTGTTGGACTCCTCAACCACGTGCACACAAGATCTCTCTCTTCTCCAAAATGCCAAAACTCACCTTCTTCTTGACAAACTTCTCAAGAACACTCCCAAAATTCTCAGTTTAGGGTTAGGGTTTAAGGAGGAAGGTGGCTGGTGATAATCTCACGTGAAATAGGGTAAAAAGAGCTTTAAAATGAATATATATATACACTTAGGGTAACAACTGGGTTCAGATACAATGTAAATCCAACCCGAAAACTAAAACCTGGCACATCGAGGAATTCCCGATAGTCGACTACTAAGCATAGTAGTCGACTACTAAGTAATACACAGGTTTCTAAAATCTGTACACAGTATTTTGGTGATAACTTTCTCATCTGACCTCAGAATGAGGTGATTAAAAATTTGTTGGAAAGATGTTGAAAATACCTACAACTTTGATCTTTAGAGTTTTCCCAGATTCTAAATGCATCATTGTGTAAAATCTATAAACTCTTAACTAGTCATTTTTCCCAGATTTTTCTCGTGTATGTTTTGTGCATTTGCACTCATATATTCATATATATGTATCGAATTGATCTCAAATCAATTCTTAGCATACTCAAATATCAATAAACTTTATTTATTATAATATAACATGTTTATTATTATATCTCACAACATTCAAAATTATAGGGTTTTACAGAATGTCACTACAAAACAGACGTTTATAAATGAATATTTTCAACACCTAGTATTCTATGTTTTGCAGTGTTGCAAAGACCTTGGTATCATCTTCATGAATTAACCCAAGGCATATACCAAAGACTTTAGTATCGTTTTGAGTAATCCCCAGGCACGAGGTCGAGTCGTCTCCAACTTGGTCAACTCCAACACGTAAGGCCTTGGTATCATCTTCATGAATAAACCCAAGACACCTACCCAACACCTTAGTACCCTTTCGAGATAAAACCAAGGCATATCATTAACTCAGAGTCTCAATCATCTTTGGCTTAAAGACCTTGGTATCATCTACATGAATAAACCCAAGGCACGTCATCAACTGGGTTGACTTAAACTAGTAAGACTTTGGTATCCTTTTGTAATAAAACCAAGACATGAAGCTGATTCATCTCAACCTGAGAGTTTCTCAAAGTGTTGACGTCCACTCGAAATACATCTAAAATTTGAAGCTGAACTTATACTCGGTCAAAGAAGACTGCGGAGGTACACAATTAAAATTGACAAAAATCAAACCTTTTTCATTCACATATTCAAAGTACTTAGAATACAAAAGTACTTACAAAAAATAGAAATACAATAAAGTTTCTAAAAAGCTGGACTTGGATCGAGGCCAAACCTAGATCTGGGGCCGAGGCTGAAGCTCGAGTAGAACTTAGGGCCAGAGCGATACTGGGAGTCCTAGCAAAACTCGAGACTGGAGGCATGGTAGCAGCGGAAGTTAGTAAAGTAGACGACTAAGGTTGGGACTCGACCACTTGGTCCCCCTCCTCTTCAGGCCGATTGACCTAACTATCATGAGTCGGGTCCTCGCTTGTTCCTTATGCCGACTCATCATCATCCTCATCTCCATTCTCGACCT